CTCTCTCTCTCTCTCTCTCTCTCTCTCTCTCTCTCTCTCTCTCTCTCTCTCTCTCTCTCTCTCTCTCTTTATGTGTCTGTCTCCGGCGCCCGAAGCTTCACACCCGCACCCGCTGGCAGTCTGCGCGGTTCAGTGTCGGCCCGGACCCGCCCTCGCCCGATGCCCAGCCCCGCGCCTCGTCTTTCCTCTCCCCTCGCTCTCCTTTTCCGACACGGCCTCGTTTTGCCTCAACGCGGGAGTCTGCCGCGTCGTTTCGCCTTTCCGCGTACCCGCGGGCCTCACGTCCGGTTCAGCCCCGCCGCGTGTCGCCGGGACCGCCCAGTGCCGTTTCCAGTACGCGCCTGTGGATACCGGTCGCCCTGGGCCTCACCTCCGGTTCCGCCCCTCAACTGGTTTACGCTGGGCCCGCGACTGTGTGTGTTGTTGGGACCTTTGTATCTTTTAAGTGTATTGAGATGAGATGAGATGTATACCCCTCTGGCCCCCCTTTAAAGCCAACACTCGAAAAAAGAAAAGAGCGTGGATTTGGGCTCCTCTCTGAGAGCGCGGAAAACCCCCACCGCGGCACCGCCAATTTTATTTTTATTTTATTTTTTCCTTTTTTTTCCTGACGCCCGGGTATCCCGGGCGTCAGACCCCCCCTGGGCATCATTCCTGGCCGGGCATCATTCCCGGGTGACCGGCCAGTCCAGATCGGCCGGTCATGAAAATCTTCCTACCTGATTAGCAGATTTTCATGGGCTGTACGAAGACATTGAATGAGGAGAGGCAACGAGCAAAAACATCCAAAGCAAAGAAAAGCTGGAAATGGAAGGTAAGGGGTAGGCAAGGCAGACCCCACTGGTGTTATGTTTTTGCAAACATTTGGTAGGGGACCAGGGCTGGGCTGAAAGGCCTGGTGCAGAATGGGACCCTGGACCCGGTTTCCAGCAGGTGCACCTCCCAACCATTAGAATTGATCCATCCCCAATCCAAAACATAAAAAAAAAAAAGAAACAAGCCTGAAGCTTGTCGTCCTGGCGCAATAGGTTGAGAATCCATTTACCTTTGTCACAAAAAAAAAAAAAAAAAAAAAAAAAAAGTTTACAAAACCGTTTATCAGACTTTTATCTTAAATTCTTTGCGGGATGATCTTGTACATAGTTCCATGATTTGCAGCTCCAGCGTCTTCGAAGCATCAAAGGTACCCCCATTATTGAAATTTGAAACATTTTTAAGGGCCGTGCGAGCTGTTTTCATCGAAATCCATGTGAAGAAGGGCAAAAGAGGGGTTCATAAACATTGACATTTTAACTGCTAGGTGTAGGTGCAATGGAATTGTGAATAGTTTTGTATGTAACAATTCGACACGGAAACGGATGATGTAGCCATGAAGGTTGAAAAGATAGATAGATAGATAGATAGATAGATAGATAGATAGAGAGAGAGAGAGAGAGAGAGAGAGAGAGAGAGAGAATGAAAGGGAGAGCAATGGGATGGAGGGTGGAAGAAAGGAAGGAAGGATAGGAATATAAAAGTGAAGAACAGTAAAACACACAAGTTGAGAGGGATAATGAAAAGATAGGGGGTAATAATAATAATTATTATTATTATCTTTATGTCAATAAAGAGGGAATGAATTGTAAAAAAAAAAAAAAAAAAAAAAAAAACAGAAAAAAAAAGAAGAGGGAATGAATAATCAATCTTCATTCTCAACGCAGCGTCTTTACTCTGTGAGGTACAATATTGTTTTGTTGCAAAAGATAGAAGCAAAAGGTGTGATTGGGAGATAGCAGTGTACATGTTCTTTCTCTCTCAAGGACGGGGCTCTTCGATCCTTCCCTTCGTCCCACATCTCCTTGCCATAATAATTTAATAATTTATCTCACTGGTTCATCTGTTCATTTGTGTGTTTTCCAAACTGAAAAACTTTTATGTCGTTGTTGTTTTGTTGTCTAGGGGGAATCCAGTAACGGAAGCGAAGCCTGGGTAGGGGTAAGTCGTGAACATAATTCCAGTTGCCAATGTGTGCTTGTTGACCTTTGTTCTCCCTTTTTTTTTTTTTTTTTTTTTTTTTTTTTTTTTTTTTTTTCTTTTTTTTTTTTTTTTTTTTTTTTTTCCCGTTGTGGTGTGGCTTTTTGTGTGGCCCGGTGTATAATAGCACGGATCAGATAGTAAACTGATGATCAGAACAGAATCAGCGGATACTACACTTTATCTAATTTTAGCCAAAAGGACGAGAATTGTGGTTCTATAATTCTATTTTGTTTTTATTACGTTGTTGAAACTTGAAAAGTTTTGTTTGTTTGTTTGTTTGTTTGTTTGTTTGTCTGTTTTGCCTCCTCCCTTGCTCCTCTCGAGGATAAGTTTTTTTTTTTTTTTTTTTTTTGGGAATCGAGGATAAGTTCAGATTCTTGTTCACGGAAATCAATATGGGGAAAAAAGTCCGAAAAACGAATTTCAGCAATTTAAATTTTAAATCATTTTTTAATTATTGTAATAATTTAAAATTTTTAATTACAATCTAGTAATTTCGTAATTTACAAACACCTTGCAGAGTGATTGAAAAAAAAAATCAAGCATCTTTGCAATATCCACATTCAGGGGGCCTTTTTTTTGGTGGGGGGGGGCTCCCTCAAAAATCAAAAGGGCGACCGGCTTGAGGTATCAAGACCGAGCTGACTGGGCCCCGGCCCAGGTAATTGAGAACTGCTGTATACTATTTTCACAAATCTTCAGCTGCTTGCAGCAGAATTGGAACCGCCGTCTGTGCTGGTGAACGAACAGTTGACTGGCGTATTGACTGAGCTACTTCCGTTGGTACCCAGGCCAAAAAAATGGCATGTGGGTTAAATTTAAAACAGTAAAACCCTCTCGATCACAAAATCTACTGTAATGTACAGTAACATGAACTTGGCCTGGATCTCCAGAATAATGCAGCCAATGGCAGCCATTGATTTGAAAGGTCACTGACTTTGATCTCCACTCTTTGAGCAGGATCGACTCTGCGTCACGGAATCCGATCCTGCGAAGTCGCTAAGCATTGTAGTGTTAGTAGTCTGATTACTACCGTCCCCCTCCTTGCCCGAAAAGAACATAGTAACGTACAGTGATCAAAATAGCTGTGTCTCAGGCAAGTTTCAGTCCAGATTCAGTAATAGATCGTAATGTACAGTGATCAAAATAGCTGTATCTCAGGCAAGTTTCAGTCCAGATTCAGCAATAAATCGTACGTTCTTTTCGGGTAAAGAAGGTGGCAACTTTTGCAAAGCACATGGCGGCATCACACCTGGGAGAAAATGCGTAGCCGGAGTTTCTTATACACATCTAGATGTGTATAAGAGACAGAGACTACAGAGGGAACTCGAAAAGAGGACTTATCCCTGTTAATCTTATACTGGTTATCATGT